GATTGACCGTTACAATTAAGTAAAAACGTGCAGTTATTCAACACTGACAGCTACAATGTACGCACTGTATTATACACAAAAACTTTGTTTTTGCTGTTATTACAGAAGTTGCAGTTGCAGATGTAAATATGTAATTTGCCGGCGGCTTCAATGTGCGCGTGCTTCTCTTTTCCTTCTGTTGTCAGCACTGGGTAGTTGTACATTTTAAGCGCTTTTAAGTTGGTACACTGCTTTAAAAAAGCCGCCAATTTTTTTCTAATTCAAATCGGAGATAGAAGATAGAAGGTGATGAGCGGCAATTTGATAAATCTTTGTAATATACGGAGGTGTAAATTGACTGCTTATATTATTCATGAGACATTTAGTCCTGGTAGACATTTTGTACGAATAAATAGAAATATTTTTTAAATTTCAATGAACTTTTCGTTCCTTTGTAAACAAAATCAAATGGCAGACGATTGTTTCTACGAGTTGTTCCAAGCGCCAGATCGCTGCTGAAAAAATGCTCGGATGGCAGTTAACAAATACCTGAAAAACATCTGCTTGGACTTTTCATCAAATCAGTTTATTTTCACAAATACTGACAGATTTAGAGAAATCTCGTCAATCAAAATCACCTACAAAAATATATCTGCAAGTCCGTGTTTTTCATCGTGCCATTGTACGAACTTTTCGAAAAATTGTGTACGATTCTAACGCGTGCCTGCCCCATTCACTTCTACAGTACCTACAATCGTATTTTCATTGAAGCGGTTCGACAACTGTGGTATATTGTATCGGTGATGAAACATCCGTTAAAAAAAAGGGATCTCAATGATTGAGAGTGAAAATTCGAAATGGAGGATCAACAAAAAAAAAAAAAAAAAGAGGGGGATGGAATGAATTAATAAACAAATTAAAAAATTCCTCAAAAACAGAAAGAAACCGTGCTCGTAGTATGGTATATATATCTCTGCTGTCGCGTATCGTCGTCGTTGACATCATCATGGGCAGTACCTACATACATATGGGTTTATAGAACATAATATTATAGAAGTATATATATATGAAACAATATATACATACATATGTATATAGCACCTATAGATATGGAAGGGAAAAAGCACGCACATGCACATATTGGCACTACGGTTGATTCAAGTACATACGGCATACATATAGAAACACCGCCTCTTATATTCTTATGTCGCATCATGTGTACACGAATAATTCCACGAGAGAGAAAAAAAAAAAAAAAAAAAAAGAAAAATATATAATTCACGTATATTATAATCATTAATTTCTTCATTTCCACGTTATCCGCGTATCAAGTCATTAGTCGGTGGAAAGTAGAAACGAAATGAAATAAAAGATAAAAAAACTTAAAATTCTAGAATCGTGACCAATCGTCGAAAGGATGTATCAAGTATAACGAGCGAGTGCGCTCTCCCTCGCATATTTAACATACGACGTAAACCTCAAGCTACGTACTTACGTACGCGCGTCATAAGTTAAAAAAAAAATGAAAACACTCACGCGTGTACAACAGTAGGTACCTCGATAATAATATTTTTATCCAGCGACATTCTCTCGAGGTGCTCTCGAGTCGATGGCACGTACTCTTTTCGATTATACAATATGAACTGATACATAATTATCTCTCCGATTGACAACAATTAAACGTATATAATATAACGTGAGCGCGTGGGGTAAAAAATGGATGTACGTTTACCCTCGTTCTCCACTTGCTTTATTTCACGCAGTTTTGCTTAACAAAAAAAAAAAAAAAATTACATTACAGTACGACCCAACATCGCCGTCGCGTCCTTGGCATTCAGGCCTCGCCGAGGCTGAAACAGAAGTAATAAGTAGCGCACCAAACCGTCATCCACGCGACGTTCACGTTAAAGGAAAAAAAAAAGGTTCACGCACGCGTCCCCTCACCCGCTCTCGCCCTGTGTAGGTATATACCCACATGTACGTACGTCGCACGAAATCCATGCACGGTGGCGCGCGTCAGCTGCGCGCACCTGCTCCCTCGAAATTGCGCCCTTCCTCCCGTCCAGCTTTTGCTTTGCCGTATATACTTAATTCTCATTTCTCTCCCTTTTTTTTTTTTTTTTTTTTTTTTCCATCCTATAACGATGACTCCTCCCCTGCTTGATGTAGGGCGCGTGTGCATTATCGCCGCGGACAATGTGTGCGTTACATACTACCACCACGATCTATCTCTTTGAGCGCGAGCTTTTCAAGTTTACTTTGCACGCACCCAAATGGTGTACACATATAAATACATACTCGCGCGCGAGTATTACACGGATAAATCTTTATCGCGAGAGTCACGGGAGATCAAAGGCGATCACACGGGGTGTACCTATTTGGGTGCATATGCATATATACATATGTAAAAAAGGGGGTGTATACTGGTAATTAAAATCTGCTTCGTCTAATTGACTGTGGTGGTTTTAACGAATGGACGTAGTAGGCACACCCTAGGTATACATGTGTACGCGTGTTTCAGCAATTAGAGTTGGGGGATTTTGCGGGGCTGACGGCCGGTGTCGTTAATTTTGCAGATCGCTCACTCGACGAGTGTTACGGTGAGGAGTAGGGCTTTTGGAGACTCGGAGTCATTACGGTTGGGAATAAAAATCATTCTTGCGAGGCTTTCTCGCTGAGGGTGTGAAAAAACGTTCCCCCCCCCTCCTCCTCCCCTTTCGTCTCTTATCCGTGTTTGCAAGTTTTTTTTTTTTTTTTTCATTTTCAGCTTCTCCGAGCTGTACCCACGTATGTTCACCCCACGCTTATGAGAAGGAAAAATCCTCGTTTGCGAGTCCCTGCAAAAAAAAAAAAAAAAAACAAAATTGGCCACAGTCACGACTCAAGCAGTGTACGTATAACGTAGGTATATAGTAGTAAAAAGCCGCGTGCCTCGGAAATAAATTCCATGCAACAGTGCGCATAAGTATGACGTCACCCGTGTATAGAATGTATACGTGTATATGCATACCCATCACAACATTTGCGCGTGACGCATGCACGAGAGGGCGTACACGTATATGATATAATAATAATTTTATATTCCCCGGTACTTGTACAAGTGAGTACAGTAAAAAAAGAAAAAAAACAGGAAGCATATAAATAATACACGGCAAGTATCTTCCTCGTGCGTTGAATGATGTTATAGCCCTTACAGTGACACATCGTCGCATCCACATACACATAATTGACACACTCGGTACTGAAAATGAAAATATATACACGCGCTCCCGCTAATTGATCACAATTGTATGGTTTACAGAGTAGCCAAAGGCGCCTAAAAAACAATAAATCGTATACATTCCTCGTATACGAATCTCGCGAGCTTTTAAAGCTTTGCGCTTCAAGCCCCAAAAACCAAACAACAGATCAACGAGGTGAGCATCCTTAATCCGAGATAGGATCGCAAAAAGCCGTTTACCGCATCAGATTATGGAGAAGGAAACCCAGCCCGCGGTGTATTTGTATGTGAATGAAGAACAGTGTCAAAAAAGGAAAAAATAAAAAGCACACCCATGAGTAAATCCACGTATAAATATATGTATAGCTAGTGGGTCCAAAGTGATGGGAAAAAGGGCTCGCCCGCTCTCGATCTCGTCTAGAGAGAGAGAGACCCGCGTTTTCAAAAGGTCAGCGAGCTTTTAAGGCGGCGCGCCGCAAGTAAGTAGGTTGTGTTACATCCGAAGCACGCGGCTACCAAACGGAACTACAATGCTTGCGCGGGCACACGTATGTATACACACTTTTACACGTATATACAATATCGCGTCGCATTGGCTCGCTAAACGCATTCCCAGCCTAATATCCGAGCCGGGAGAAAAAGAGAGGGAGGGAACGGCATCTGCGGAAATAAAAAACAGTAAAAAAAAGAAAGTACAGAGAGAGAAGCGAGGTATGTGAGAAGACGACGGGTTATTGGGCGGGGAATAGGGATGACGCGAGTACTATATACACACCTCTACTACAGGGAGATACGATCGTGTGTGCACACAGTAAAATTGTGTGTATAATCTGCACAGGGTGGGGCCTACATGGTGCTGTGTGTATGGGCATTGGGGGCTTTTGGCTGTTGGGATCCCTCTGGGTGTGCTGATGTGTGTATTTATACATATGTTGTGCCGATCGATCCAGCAGGTGGGGGTTCCTCGACACTCTTCTCTCTTTCCCTTTCGTTTCATACTTCTCCTTCTCTTCTCCGTGTTCTCTCGCTCTCGTGAATATGTACATGGTTGAACGAGCGAGTTCGTAAAAAAATCGGTATCTTTGCTTTACCTGTTAAATTAAATGAAATATCTCGTTGCAAGAGCTCACAAACAAAAGCATCATCCCTTATTCATTATGAGTTCTTGGCTGTACCGTGGTTCTTACTTACTTTATGCGTATGAGCAACGTTACTGTGGATATCGAAGAGTGAAAAAAAAAAACAAATATCGTCAACTCTAGTGACACAAAAATCGGAAGCTGACCGGCTGACGGGACAATGTACGTAGTTTTCAAAAAATCGGTAAGGTTTGATGGATTTTAAGGATACATCCGTAAATTCGTTGGTATTCGATGGATCAGTGAAATTCCATCGTAGGTGGATCAATAACATTGTCAGCGGCAAAAGTATGACATACCGATTTATCGCAGTAGTTAATTACCGATTTTTCGCCTTTTGCCGATTTTTTCGAGGATTTCTTCGTATACACCCACATTGTATACGTATACACACGTGATACCATTCCAAATTCGAGGCCCGTATATAGCGCCTCGTGCTCTATCTCTCTCGGTGTGCGCGCTCAGTCCCAAGGGGAGAGAAATAGGTTTGTTGTCGGGAGCGCGCCTCTCTCGCCATCAGGAAGAAGAGGGGCAGAGAGGCCGTCTCTCTCCCAGCCGGGTGGTTGGTTGTTGGTCTTCGTCGGTCGTTACAATAATACGGCTGATGGTGTACGTATCGCGTACAACGCTGATGGCCTGGTAGTCAGTGTGCCTTGAGAGCAGCGACCGAGCGCCAACGCTACTTCGGCACTGCGCGTGCATCCTCAACGTGTGCGCCGATATTATACTTACAATACTCTTCTGTCGTCCTTTGAGACATACTTTGAGTGAGATTCGTGAATAAAAACATCTGTGAACATTAAAAAAAAATAATAATAATTACACGTACTTTTTTTTCACTTGTCAAAAAAGAGGGTAACGAGAATGAGGACTCTGTTTTTTTATACTTAGCGGTGTGTGGATTATATTTGAATACACGATACATAGGGTGTGGTGTACATGTATCCTTGGACCCTGTAAATCGTGAGAGTGTCCTCGTCGTCGTATTGTTGGTGGAAAAAAAAAAAGAGGAATTTTGCAGCAGGGAGCACGCGAACGACGGCCTCCTTCTCTCGCGCGTTCTTCTTCTCCCCCAAGCACGTACATATATATATATATATACACGGCAGTGACGGGCCACCAACCATCAGCGCGGATCTGTGCGAAAGAAAGGTAAGAGCAAAAGAATTTTCTTCCATCTACTTATACATATAGTGCCAATGTACCATTTTCGGTTTTGTCTTGGCCGATTATTATTGTTTTTTTTTAATTCGATGTCATTGCGTAGTTGGATTTATTTTTAGACAAACTTTCAGCTATTCGCACTTTGAGAAAATTCCAACAATCTATAAATACACCATGAGATTTTCCCATGTGGATGCTGGAATGTCTGTGCTTTTGTTCCGTTACCTCTTTTTCTTTTCGATTATGGGATATCATATACAATATTTGGACCCACACAATCGAATCGTACATACTTGATGCATTTTCAGCAAAATTCAACTACTTGCCAATCATGGGTTTCATTGGGATTTTTTTTTTTTTTTTTTTCATAATCCAGAAAATCCCATGAAAGTTATTACGTGTTATCAGGGGGAAAAAAACAAGATTCCTCACTTGGAAAAACAACAGACAGGTTCGCTCCCTACTCTACATATATTTTAACTTGCTCATTCATCATAATGAGCCGGGTATATAATATATACAACGATAAGATAAACTGCAAGAGTGTGTATACGTATATGTATACGTATATGTATATGTGCTTTCGTCAAAAACAAGTTACTGAGGTAATCAACAGTTTTGTGAAAGAGAGAAAAAAAACAACAACAACAAAATAACAAACTCGTGAGTATACATATATGCATACATATATACATGTATATACATATATATCCATATTCTAATTTTATATAACGCGCACGTGACACAACACATTTACTCATGGTTTTAGTTTTATTGTACATTCGTGATTTGTGATTGTGATTCGTTCGTCCACGCAGGTGCACACCTACACACACGACATAATACACTCGTACGCGAAAAGTCATTAACCGACGTCCGGGCTTTTAAAATTTCCAGCACTTTAGTCGTTACCGTGCACCTGTACCTTATACTTATCGAGTGAGAGAGAGAGAGAGAGAGAGAGTCCGCTAGAAAATAACAAAAATTTTTCACTGTATACGTACTACTCTCGATCAATGTATTTTACCTATTTACGTGTATACATCTGTACAAGTGAATAGGCGGTGATTATACAGATGGGCAATACAGTTTCGAGACTCTTCAACACGTCCGTCGCTGTCGATTCGGCAGGTAAATAATATATTAACGCAACATGTATATATAGGCACATAGTGATTATACATACATGTACGTACACGCTTCACGTCACAGGGGACTCGCACATCCTGTCCTAGCTCCTGTCTTTCGACCATAAAATGAAAATAAAAGTTTTCTTCCTTTATAAAACAAACATCCAAGTACATTGAGACTCGCAATTCTTTTTTTTTTTTTTTTATTAATAATCAGCCCCCCCCCCCGCCCCCAAATATTGTATAGGTGTACAGGCACTCGTCGCTCTTTGGAGCCAAATCTAGCTCGTTCGATTATTACAAATAATCTATATACATACATATACACGTACTCACAAGGAGAGAGAGCGAAATTGTGTTACGCCTCTGAAGTGTCCGCATCCCCTGGCCGTTATAATCGAACCACACACGCGTCTGCCCCTTCTCTCCCCGTGAGAGTAAGTGGGTGTCTCATCATCCATCTCTCGTCTTTTGTTATATTTTTATTCTTTGAATTCCGTAAGACGGACACATACATACACACATATATATGTGCACGCGCGCTCGCTCGCGGGGTCATTGAGTGTGCATTGTGTATTTTTAAATTTCGCTGAGCCGACACACACTCGTTGTCGTCACCATGCACGCGCGCGACTTTTTCGCCGTTAACTGCACACATTTTTATGCTACATACGTATATGTTGTTTTATGTGTTTCTTGTGACGCAAGCACCAAGTGCTCGTGTGAATGAAACCGTGCACGAAGCCACGAAGATTGGAAAAACGTTTGCGTGCTTGTAGTTTTGTTTCCTTTTTTTTTATTTATTTATTATTATTATTATTATTATTTCTCTCGTTTCTTCATTTTTATTTCGTCTCTCCGGGAGTTGACGCACGCGACCAAATTTTCTGATTTATTTTCTTATTTTCTTACCGTAACGAGTACACAGGGTACACACGCCCGCGTGTACATGTTCCCTCCTCCCTTAGGAATTTACGACTCTTTTTTTTTTTTTTTTTTTTTTTTCGTTTTTCCTACCCCCATGCTTTTTTTCATTTTTTCATTTTATTTGCATTATATTTTTCTTTGATGTCTCAACAAGGTTGGGTGTAGACGTGTATTATTATTGTCGTTTGGGAGCAAAGGGGAGTATATTTTTGGTTCAACGGTATCAAAAGGAATCAGTACGTATACTTATCGGCAACTTGACTCCCGAAAACAATATTAACTTTATTTTAAATAAACGAGTGAAAAAGTCACAGGTTGTATACACAAATATTAATGTTTACGAATTTTTGCGGAAAACAAATTTGAATTTACTATGTTTTATAAAAATTACGTACGATTATCTGTATTCAAAGTGCCCAATATAATAAATTGCATTGCACCACCATCTTAAATTTGATGCTGACAATATGTATTATTAAAATGGTAACGGAACAAATGCAAACGAGCCATCCTAAATTCGTGTCACGTAAATATCGTCAACTCGAAAAATAATAATATTCCACGATTTCTCCCCCAATTCTTCCATCACCTTAATCCCGTCCGTGTATTACATCAAATTATACATACGCACTCGATTATACGTATATTTTTCATATATATATATATATATATATGTATGAAAGTGACCCGTGACTCTCGAAAAAAAAAAAAAAAAAAAAAAAAAAATTCTAAAAAAAAAAAAACAGGCTTATCCAAATAAACATCATAAAAATAAATTACCTCATCCAATTTTCCTACACTTTANAAAGAGCACGATGAAAAAAAAAAAAAAAAAAATTACAACAGTGCGGTAAAGTAAGTTGGGTAATTAGGGCCATGGCGTGTACGATCACCGCAATATAGGTATGTGCACCTGTAACATTTGTTTTTCATTTATCGAGCTGTGGTACACAATAAGAGGTCACTTCCAAGTATAATATTATCCTGTATAGAAAAAAAATGTTGTTTATTCAATTTTACTTTTCTGTCGATTACCGTGTGTAATGCCGAGCTGATACATGTTTGTAAAAAACAACACATCAGACACATTAGTCGATCGTTCCCCAATATACTGAGCGATAAGCCGACGATGATAGCACGTACTAATAATGTCCCGAATCATCTCGGAATGTTGAAAAACAAGAGAGGACAAAAACAAACGAAAGCTCTGTAAACCTCGATTGTACAAAGTACTGCTCTGTGTTTCAGAAGTTCGCTGCACAATGGCGGGTGACGACACAACGGAGATCTGCGGCTTCACGGATGCGAAGATACCCCTGGGTATGCGCAGCAAGAAGCGTTCGCTCGCGTCCTGGAAGGTCTGGCGGCGCCACTGGTGCCAAATTCGCAAGCTCGGCGCGAACTTTGGCCTCGAGATCCTGCTTGACCACGGGGTGGGCAGTAGGTTGAGCACGGACAGCAACGCGAGCAGCAGCGGCAGCATCAGGATACCCGCGGACGCGATAGTCTGCCGGACCGAGTCGCGCTCCAAGCCCTACGCTTTTGGCATATTCCCGGCCAAGGAGCGCAAGCCCCTCATATATCTGGCCGCGAGCTCGGAGAGCGAGACCCAGAGGTGGATGGCCAACATAAGACAGCTACTCAGGCCCCGCAGACACAGGTTCATGGAGGGCACCTTCAACGTCTCCATGGTCGACAATGCCCACTCGAGATCGGCTGGATTGACCGGTAAGTGCTGTGGATTTTGTTTCTTTCTGCGTCACGAGTCCCTGAAAATAATACCTCATTGTCAGAAATGCTTACGTGATTTTTTTTTAACGATAACGTGGTTTTTTTTATCGCTCGGTGTCGTTTGCATGGAAGGGCGTTTTTTTTTCTCCCCCTTCGGCTACCAGTTCTGGAAAAAGGCACTACGCCCGTATTTGTACGGGAGGAATTTTGTTTTTCTCATCCAGCCGAAAATAGCGTTGAAATTAAGGCACGTGGAAAAGATAACGGTGATTTCCAATAAATTCGTCGAAAACAACAAACAACTCGATAATTAGGACTGCAGATACCTTTGTGGGCGTGAAGGCGACTCGTTATATGTAGCAGTTATCGGCTAACAAGAGTATAATAAAGCACAAAATCAGGGATTCCATCTATAATTACCGTCCCTAGCTCTGCTTTGTTTGCCGTTAGAAAAAAAAAAAAACAAGATAAGCACCTCCGTGTGGCCAATGATTCATTTATTATTACCCTCCGTAGGATTGTACGGCGACATGGTGGCTAGCCGATCCGGGGTGTACGTCAAGGACGTGCACACGGGGGAGATAGTCGAGACGTTCGATTGGAAGGACACGGACTCGGTCCACTTGGCCTGCTCGGGCCGCGAGGAGGACGTCAAGCGCATCTGCGTCGTCCACACGACCAAGGGGTTCCGCTGTGGCCTCGGCGAGCTGCACATATTCTGCCTGGACGCGCCCCTCCTCCTCTTGGACCTCATCAGGCAGGGCAGGGGTCCACGACAGCACCGGGCCCACCTGACCCAGCGGCCCCTCAGTCTCAGCGAGGGCGACCTGAGGCTCGTCGCCCAACAACAACATCAGCAACAACAGCAGCAGCAGCAACAACATCAACGAGAGCACTCGTGCAAGGAGAGAAAAGGCCAGGGCAACACGCTCAGGAGGCAGCACACCTTCCAAACGATCAAGCACAAAATCACGATAAACGTGATCAACGTGGGCCTGGGTCTGCTGTCCTCCTCGAGAGCAGGCAGCGAGACAAAGCTCATCAACGACGTCGAGAAAGACCGTGAGTATCGATGGGTGGAGCTCTTGGTCCAGCTCGTGATCAGCTTCCCTAATCATTGCGCTCTTGGTACATCCCTCGTAGGTATCCTCGATAAAATGGATGCGACGTACAACAAACGCGCGGTGGACAACGTCTACCACTCGAACCCAAAATCGACGACGAGGCTGGAGCAGACGGTGTGCTCGAGCCTCGAGGAGTTGGAGGAGCCGTCGCTCAGGCGGGTCTCCAACATATCGGTCGCCTCGGGCATCTACGAGGAGATCCTCGACGACTTTGTGTCCACGAGGACGTTGCGCCGTGTGCCGTCGGAGCTCTACGAGGACCTCGGCGACATCATCCTCCACTCGAGCGAGAAGCTGGAGCCACCACCCCTTCCGCCGAGGCAACGCTGCGGCTCCGGGTCCACGAGGAACGGGAGGTTCGTCTCCTGAAATTAAAATTTGTTTTTCATACGATCGAGCAATTGATGATCTACAATATTCATGTCTTTCTTACCGAACAGCGTTAGCGGCGACGACGGTCTCGATTCCGAAGGTGACACGCGCTCGGCCACGCCGAGCATGCAGGACGATTCGACCCCGACGCCCGAGGACTTGAAGAACCCGCCGTCCGAGTCCGAGGATAGAATGATCGGCCAAATCGACCAGTCCGAGTACGTGCAGATGTCGCCTCGGCCCAGGGACATCGCCGCCCGTGAACTCCAGCAGCAGGTCCAGCTCGAGAACATGTACATGGTCATGCGGTAGATTTATGGCCCTTTTTCTTTTCTTCACCCCCCCCCCCCCCATCATTGGTGGCGCGTCTTGGGGTGATACGCGGGGTCTTAGATAGCCAAATTATGGGATTACTTTACACGATACAATTAGTACATATTTTTACGGAATATATATATATACATACACGTATGTTTACGTAAAAAAAATTATGCTTCTGTGGAAGCGTCACCCACTCTGTATACGCGTGATTTGTTACTATTATTATTATTGTTATTATTACTTTTACATCTGCCTCTCAAAAGCTTCGAGCACGTGTACATATAATGTGGGCGGAAACTTGTGCTGCAGGAAAAACGAAAGCATTTACTTATTTGTGTCTTCCCGACGAGGGAAAAGGTTGTCCGAGTAGCGATAAATCATTCAAAAGACTTTTACAGCACGCAATGTGTGCGACAAGTACGTATACCTATACCAGATTTTATGGGGGTGTAAGAAGCCAACTTTTGGACAAACACTCGGTGCGTTATTGCTTTGTAGATATTTTTTAAAAATAAAGTCTACTTCGATGAAAAAAAAAATTAAATAAATAAAAAAAAAAAAAATGATTCGATATGTACTGAGCAATTTTAGCGCGTAAAAAGATGTAGGCCTCTACTGTACGTTGTGATAAATTAAAAATTGCAGCAATCGCTTGCTTTGGTACGTAATATATAGTTCGTATGTGTTATACACAGTCTGATGTCGAACATTCCGATTTTAGATAATTTTTTGAACTTCCAAGTTTCCAGACTACAAGGAAAAGTTTGGATGATGTTTCTAAGCTATCGTATAATAATGCGCTCATTATCAGTATTCATTATGATTAATTGTATATACATATAGAAACAGAGTTCGATTATTCGAGACATTACGGTTGCTTTTTATTACATGGTAATTTTATACTACTACGTTAATTTTAATTTTTTAAGTTTAATTAAGTTTTGTACATAGTTTAGTTGTAATTGGATTTAAATAATTTTTCAAGTCATGCTTGAGTATAATAATGAAAATCTTGATTACAGTAGCAAGAGATTATGTGTTGTGCAAAAATTACGTGCTCATTCTGAATAAATAATGCCATATCAATAATAGTAATATATACCCATAATCAAGGACTGCACATACTACATTGGTCATTACGGACGTGAAATCGTAGTTTATTAAATACTCGAGTAATACGCTACGTTCGTAGTTCAGTGCTTTTTAAAAGTACTGTCATTACTTGGCATAGCAGTCCTGTTTACTCAAAAATCATTGATATATAGATGACATATACGAGATACTGGAGGATTCAGAGATATAGAGATATTTTACAAAATAGTATAAAAAAAGTAATGACTTTCCATTTTTCGAACGAGACACGTACAAATTATTGTGATAAAAATAATGAAAATTAATCTCTATTGTATATTAAGATGAAAAAAAAGTTTTTTTTTTGAAGAAGCTAAAAGACTTTGGAGTAAGTAAATAAAAAAAAAATTATAAAACTGTCCACTGCCTTTTGCTGTGTGCCTCAAAATCTGTTTATTGCGAAAAGCAAAGAAATTTTTTTTTCTCGTTGTCAGCAAGCTTGTTATGAAAAAATAAATTTCGTTGTATTTCTGTTGCACATATGCGTAATGTCGATTATTTGTAACATTTTTAGATAAATGATACGAGAAAAATTAAAAAATCGCAAATGTTATTGTTTAAAGTGTCGTTTATGTTGCGCACTACTTGTTTATATGATAATTAACAATTATATGTAAAGGTACACGAGAAAAAAAGACCATTTGAAAATTGACAATTCATACTTAACAAGTGTACCATGTTTTTACGTCAACGAAAAATGATACTTCGTCGAGGCTTCGTTTGTATTGTATTAGAATTAAAAAATATTTTGAGAAAAGTTTATAGACACCAATATATGAAATTTCTTCTTAAGTCAATGTATTATGAAAAAAATGTGATAAATTGAAATCATTTTAAAATTAAGACTGGTTGAGCATATCAGCTATAACTTAAAAANAAAAAAAAAAATCGATGTATTCTGCTTTCACATTGAATAGGCTGCTAACGTTATCCTTTGTTACTTACTTTGAACGAAACTTAATGAAATTCATTTCTGAGAAATAAAAAATTTTTAATGCAATAACTTTGATCATTATTCTACCAAAAAATAATTCTTTTATTTTACAGTGCAAAAAAAGATACAAATATGTAACCACAGCTAACTTAAACAAAAAATTCTAAAAAAAAAAAAACAGGCTTATCCAAATAAACATCATAAAAATAAATTACCTCATCCAATTTTCCTACACTTTACGTCTTACAAATCAAACTTGGCACATTTCTTTTCGTAATTTAGAAACGTGATGTTTATGAGCATAATTAACAATCGTTTTGCTTTGCATGCTGTCGTGCTAGTTTTTTTGCTTTCATTTCAAAAGTAGCTTTGTTGAACCGAAACTCGTCGGCTATGTCGACCATCAGTGGGTCATCTGGATTGGGATTACCCAACAAGGACAGCACTGCAACTAACAAGCTTTCCAAAGTGATCGTAGGTCTCCAACCACCGTTTGGAGGCATTTTCAGCAAATCAAGGCAAATACGGCCTTGACCATCGATATTAGGATGGTAGATTGGGGTAACAAACTGTATCCTCGGAGGCAAGAACGGATACTTTCTAGGGATCTCCACTTCCAATTCAAAAAGAGCCCCTTCATATGGCGTGTTGTGCGGGCCGATCATATGAATTGTGAGTATATTGGTTCGTTCTTCCGTTAAATGATATATTATCCCCTCGGGAGGATGCTCCACTAAACGTTTCAATTCTTTCATTACTCTTGAGGACGTCTGCATGCTTGCCTTGGTTCTGAAAAAAAATGAAAGTATATGGTGTTGAGAATAATGTAAACAAAGACAAAAAAGTAATCCGATACGTGTTTTAAATGCAAGTCGTTGACTTTTGTCTAACCTAAAAATCTTGCCATACTTTGACAATAATTTTCTTAATAAATTAAATAGAAAACGAGTACCTACCAACGTTATTTACGATTGACCGTTACAATTAAGTAAAAACGTGCAGTTATTCAACACTGACAGCTACAATGTACGCACTGTATTATACACAAAAACTTTGTTTTTGCTGTTATTACAGAAGTTGCAGTTGCAGATGTAAATATGTAATTTGCCGGCGGCTTCAATGTGCGCGTGCTTCTCTTTTCCTTCTGTTGTCAGCACTGGGTAGTTGTACATTTTAAGCGCTTTTAAGTTGGTACACTGCTTTAAAAAAGCCGCCAATTTTTTTCTAATTCAAATCGGAGATAGAAGATAGAAGGTGATGAGCGGCAATTTGATAAATCTTTGTAATATACGGAGGTGTAAATTGACTGCTTATATTATTCATGAGACATTTAGTCCTGGTAGACATTTTGTACGAATAAATAGAAATATTTTTTAAATTTCAATGAACTTTTCGTTCCTTTGTAAACAAAATCAAATGGCAGACGATTGTTTCTACGAGTTGTTCCAAGCGCCAGATCGCTGCTGAAAAAATGCTCGGATGGCAGTTAACAAATACCTGAAAAACATCTGCTTGGACTTTTCATCAAATCAGTTTATTTTCACAAATACTGACAGATTTAGAGAAATCTCGTCAATCAAAATCACCTACAAAAATATATCTGCAAGTCCGTGTTTTTCATCGTGCCATTGTACGAACTTTTCGAAAAATTGTGTACGATTCTAACGCGTGCCTGCCCCATTCACTTCTACAGTACCTACAATCGTATTTTCATTGAAGCGGTTCGACAACTGTGGTATATTGTATCGGTGATGAAACATCCGTTAAAAAAAAGGGATCTCAATGATTGAGAGTGAAAATTCGAAATGGAGGATCAACAAAAAAAAAAAAAAAAAGAGGGGGATGGAATGAATTAATAAACAAATTAAAAAATTCCTCAAAAACAGAAAGAAACCGTGCTCGTAGTATGGTATATATATCTCTGCTGTCGCGTATCGTCGTCGTTGACATCATCATGGGCAGTACCTACATACATATGGGTTTATAGAACATAATATTATAGAAGTATATATATATGAAACAATATATACATACATATGTATATAGCACCTATAGATATGGAAGGGAAAAAGCACGCACATGCACATATTGGCACTACGGTTGATTCAAGTACATACGGCATACATATAGAAACACCGCCTCTTATATTCTTATGTCGCATCATGTGTACACGAATAATTCCACGAGAGAGAAAAAAAAAAAAAAAAAAAAGTCATCCACTATGTAGATATTAATTTGTTGGTTTTGTTGTTTGGTTGAACGCCTTCGATCGGAACTAACGTGTATATCATATACGTATACGAAAGAAGAAATGATTGTTAGTTTAACGTTCTGAAAACTTGGCGCTGAATGCAGAACTTTGTTTTTTTTTTTCGTATGTTTTATCAATAAATAAAAATTTCACAAAACAACTTATCAGCTTGATCGTTTGAACTGTTTTCTCCAAGCTGCAGCAGTGGATGGATCCAAATGAAAAGTAACGCGTACAGAATTATGAGTATCAGACAACACTTCCCACTGCAGATCTTGTTCCCACTGGGGACTATTTTTCAAATCAATCAGGTCTCTGGTAAAAAAAAAAAAAAAAAAAAAATATCTCCTCCGACCTTATTATATATATATAAGTTCTCTTTTGTCCTCGGGACTGCCAATCGGCCTCGATCTGCTGCAAAAAATCTTCAACAGAGGGGACCATCTTTTGATGTATATTTTTAAAGAAAAGCCGTAAAAACTTGGCTGCTTTTCTACGGAACCAGCTCCCCCTTGTTCCACCCGCCGTATGTTAATACATGCGATAGCACGGACTGTATGTGTACGCGGTTGTATTCAACGGTTAGGTACATTGTACCGAACCGTTCTGTGACTTTGGAGTCGAGCCTCGAGCCCTGCACGAACAACAGCTCGCGGAGGACTCCTCCTCGCCGGACCGATCTTTCCCCGCGTTCCCGATCGGCAACCCTTTTTTTTTTTTTTTTTTTTCCAAACTTTTTCTCACCAATTACCAAGTACACATCGCTCAGGTATCGCTCGGGGAAAAAAATCGTTAATATACATGTGCGCGCGAGTGCGCGATACATAATTCACGGAATGCTGTACTCGTGAAACGGCTCTCGGCCACCTGCCGTGCCGTCCTGATCGAGGTGCTGCTGGTGCACCGTTCACGACAAAAAGCACACCGTGTACTTTTTCGACTGTTCGCCATCACCACCCCAAGGGCGCTGTGTTTTTTTTTTTTTATAAAATACGTATACCGCTGCAGTGTTTTTTACGTCCCCTGCATACATACATACATACAGAAAGGGGAGAGCCGCAGGTAACAGCAGGAGGACGCCAACGCAGGCGCAGGAGGAGGAGGCTGTAAGCTGAAGCCGCCGCCGTCAGGTATATTGTGTTGTAAAGTCAGCCGAGCCGTCAGGTATTTTTGGGCGTTGACCGCGTCGCCGTTGCCGCCACCACCACGCGCGCGCCTTTACTCTTCATCTCCTTTTTTTTTTTTTTTTTTTTTTTTTTTTTTTTTTTTTTTTTTTTTTTTTTT